AGGAATTTTGAAGGTGGGAAACCGAAACTTAGGTTTAGTAATTTAACACACAAGTGGCAAATGACCTACCGGGTTTTCAAACCCAGATAGTTTGATATGAGACCCCCACCCATGACCTTGACCGAGCCTGTGCTATTCATGAGTCTGTTCTGAGATTCAGAGCTGAGGCCTCTGTGGTAGGAACAGAAGCAGAAGCAAAAAGGAGTTGTTTTCCTCCTTCCCCTCACAGAGGCAAGGTCACAGTTTAGAATGACAATCGCAGAATTGGTCAAGTTTACAAAGAAGTTTCATACTTGAAATTCTTTAGTAGGCAAACGTATTTTTATTTTATGCTCGTGTGTGTGTGTGTGTGTGTGTGTGTGTCCTCCACTTTATAATTCTCACTTTCTCATCATCAAGCTCTTCTTCTCCTGGCCTCCGGGTGCCCAGGGCATCTCACTGAGGACGGACTGGAAAGAGCCCGGGGCGTGGTGTCAGGAGATGGGAGTTAGAAGCCCACTCTGTGTACTTAGTAGCTCAGCTTCCTCCTCTGAACTTTCAAATCCTGCCTCCTCCATAAGGCTGCTGGGAGATTCAAAAGGTAACACACACACACACACACACACACACACACACACACCCACACACACACACGCTTGATAGTTGTTAACTTTATAATTACATGCTGCCAGAATGTCCAGGGGGCACGGCAAAGAGGCCCAGAGCATCCCCTTTGGGTCAGCCCTGTCAGCCCTTCTTTTGTGGGGGTCTCTTCCCCTTTTTCCCCTCTGCTTTCTGCTTCTCCTATCGGAAGGACTTTACTCCTTCATACTGTCTGCAGGCTTGACTATCTAATGCCAGTTACATATCCTGGTGGTATAATGTTGCGACCATTCTACATTTTTAGTTTTATCTGATGACAATGATTCAGAGAAACAGTTTTAAGTATTTTTCCCAGATATTTAAAATTAGAATTGTATCTTTTACATGAGCTGGGGACACACTCCAGTTTACAGCTAGTTCAATACTTTCGCTCACGTCAAATCTTTAAAAACATTTTTTTAAATCATTCACCTTTAAATTTACTGATGGAATAAATCTAATATTAACCACTTCCCTTGACTCACTTGACTGGTAACTTTTATCAGGTGAGTCACTCCTGTGAGGCCGGTTCACTGCAATGAGATTTTTTTCTCAGTCTCCACTACCTTAGAGTTTAGATTGTAATAGTTGAGGTTGAATACAGCAATTATCTTTTGACAGAACAGAATAATTCTGTAATGTGTACCTAGTTAGGAAATGTGAGTAATATTGTACTAGTAAACATTTACTAGCTGCCTAGAGTATTTTGCATCGGGTAACTTTGCATCATGTCCTATGCTATACAAGTGACAGGGATACCTAGTAACACAGTTCCAGCATTTGTAGTAAATACCTTCCATTGTCTAAGCATACATACGAGTCACCAGAATTTCCAAATGAAGTACTGCCAGAAGCAGCCAAAGAGGTACCCAAAGACAATTAATGCTGGCCGAGCCACGAGAGTCAAAGGATGGTGAGAGGTTAGTGCAAGAATACAATATATCGAAACGTTTCAACTTTGGATGTTTTCATTTTAATGCTGGAGACTTTTCTTATTATTAAACGTCTACATCCATGTCCCTGGTCAGCTATAGAGAAAAACTGTAATTGAGGGACGTGAGACTCATATGGTTTTGTGAACTATTTTCTACAAAAATAAAATTGAGTCTAATTGCTAGCTTCAACAGAATGCTTAGAGGCCAAGTTCTAAACCCGTGTGTCTCTAATGTAAATAAAACAAGCAAGTACCCCTCCCCGCCAAGGCTTTCCTTGCCAGGGACAAGTTTCTGGAGGGAGTGGCAGCCAGCTCTACCGAAGGGAGCCCTTTGGTCACGGAATGCCTGCGCTGTTCTCCCCAACGAGTAGAATCCTGAAGCTGTGATTTTTCATGTGGTGCTTTGGGTTCCACTCATGGAAAGAAAAAAATGTTTTTTGGTTGAAAAAAGAGATATTGAAACGATTTTAGTATTTCTTTCATAAACGAATTTACTAAATGCATGGATTTGTCCCCGAATGGATCCACTGATTGAACTCTGAACTCGACATCGGGGTCCGTCATCAGTTACCTGGGCAGGAGCCTGTTCTATCACAAGTATTTTATTCTCTTCTAGAATTCAGACCTTTCTAACTTTTCTCCTAGACTCGCATTTCGATGTTGACGAGATTATCCTGGGGCTGTGATTTTATCTTCACACTCGTTATTTTATTCCTCCAGTTCCTCCCCTCATCACTCCAAACTCTGCATGGCCCCCGCTCCCAGCGCACACATTCCCGTGCTGTACCCCCACACCCCGTGCCTGTCTTCTGCCCGTCTCTACTCTCCCAGCTTTATTCCTTCAGCCATGTTTATTCTCTGCTTTTCTTTGGGGGATGAGAAAAATTTCTGGGTCCACTAGAATATCAATTATTTTTTGTAGACTTACCCCCGCCAAACTGAAATATTACTCTTTGATACTAAACGACGCCCAGTATTATGTAAGAATAAGACAATTTCTTTTCGCGATAATGTATTAGAGCCTCACTTTAATCATAAAATCACTGCTGAATAAATAAGTAGTTTGACGTCTTTGATTCATATATTTTGTTTTAAACAGCATAGGATCCATGTGAGTAATAGAAACAATGCAATCGGAATTAGATCGCAATTTCTGCTTCCCGAAAACAGGTATAGATAAGAACGTTGCACACAGGACATGCCAAGAGTCGCATAAACTGACCATCACCCATGAATACGCTAAACTTCTTAAACCCCCGAAACAGAAATTATAAATAGAATTTTGTGAATTCCACTTGTCTGATGCAAGCAAATCAAAATAAAACAGGAAAGACCATCTGACTAATCTCTGCAGGCTGGCTGGCCCCCAGGCTGCGCAGGCTGAGGATCTCTTCGAAAGGCTCACTCTCAAGCATGACTAAGAGCCTTTGGAGCCCGGAAGCTTTTGAGGGGCCCCTCTGCCTCCCCCCTAGTGTTGGCCTTGAGCTTGAGCCTCTCCTTGCAACCAATAGGCAGCCTTCTAACCATCCTGTAGCCCTCTTCCATGCCTTGGGCCAAATGGAAACAATAAAACTTTTTGCAGCAGCACACAAAATAAATAAATAAAACAGAAGAAAAACCTCCACTCAGAGAGAGAGAGAGGGAGAGAGAGAGAATATCTGTGTAAATGGAAAAGAATATACATAAAAAAAAAAATCATAAAAAGAGTAATAAAAAAATTTGGAAATCTAAATATCATTTAGAATTACTCTTAACGAACACTGATTTTTAAAGATAAATGTTAAGAAAACTAACAAAGGCTTTAGTAGATAGCACGGATTAGAGAAAAATGGCTTTACTTCAAATAAAGAACATGTTCCGAAAGAGTCTGGAATGGGCATGGAACACACACACACACACACGGAGTTCATGATAGCATAAGTGATGGGTTAAAGAAAACCTTATTCGATTCTTGTTAAAAATGTTTCATTTCTAGTCATCGACATTTACACCTTTACATGCCCCCTCTTGTATACAGCTTACTCACTCCTTTAATATAGTTTACCTTTGGTTCTATACATGAACCCATGAGAGTATCAGAGAAGTTAGTAAGTCTGTCAGCCACCACTTCTTGTCTGAGCATCTCTAGGGAACGTGGCACCGTCCAAAGATTTTTCCAACATAGCAACAAGGAGACTCTTACACAAGAGAGCTGCAGCTCCCTCACTCAGCTGTCGTGCCAGGGCAGACTGCCTAAGGGCTGTTCTGTGTGCAATTCTGTCTGCCACATAGGTGCTTGCTCATTGTGTCTCTATTTGAAAAAAAATGGGCACAAGATGGAAGATAAGATTTGAAACAAAATATTTTATGAGTTAATCTCTTTGATCTTGACATTAAAAAAATCGAGGACCAGGAAAGAGAGGAAATCTGCCAAAATAATAAATAAATGATTAACTCGAATGCTTAAAATAAGCTTCACCTGGCACTATCTTTGACCAAGACACCTAGCTGGGCTGAAGGATCAGGAGTAAACACTTGCAATTAATTTTATGGCAGTAAATAGAATTTCGGAGCTGAAAATTATACATTTCTATGTGGAGAATAATATCGTCTGAAAAGAAAATTTAAATGTTTTCCTAAGTTGCTGTTTGGACACAAGCATTCTACTTAGAAGTCATTTCTAACAGAACCATAAAATCTATGGGCTGTAACTTGTGCAGTCTCACATTTTCCCTGTGGAAACATTGAAGTTTCTAAAAAAAGAACCATCTCTCCACCCCTGTGACTATTCTACACAGTTTTAACAACCCATGACACACCGTATCATTAGCCTGATGAGCAATTTTAATAGAGGCAACGAAACC